GTTACCACAGTTGAAACTGGGATTGAATGTTACATTGGTTGAGAAGTGAGAGAGCAGGCAGTGATTTGGCTTGTTTGGAACAAAACAGAGGGGAATGGAGCCAGTGAGTAAAAGGAAGTGTAAGCACTTGAAAACACTTAAAAGAATTTCAAGTTTTCATAGAAAGGTTCGTGAAGAGGGACAGTTACGCAGATGTAGGTGTTCTAGATTAAAATCAAGACCTTAAATTTATTATTACTATTGAATGCCACTGAAAAAAAACCCCTAGTTGTACTTTTTCTGTGCATTACTACCTCCTGTACCATCTTCTCCCCATGCTGGCACCACTGTTGATACAGGGGAGTGGGGGACGAGTGGCATGGAGCATTACCCGCAGACTCAAAATGACCTTTTAAACACTTTTTCTGATTAACCTAGTTAGTAATCACGTCTGTTTCCCTCCACTGCCGTATGAATGCTTATATTGGCACAAGGAAATGTGGTTGGGAAGGAAAGAGCTTTATTTAGTTGTACATAAGTGAGTAGGTATGTGTGTAGAATCCCTGTTTTTAATGTACATGTGTGTATTATGCACACAGACACACAGCTGTCTACAGGGATTATGCAGCTGGGAGGTTGAACATTCTAGCCCTTGTGTTGACCAGAGGGCGTGCCATTGATAAAGCAGTTGTGGGGGAGGTTTACAAGTGCAATAGGTGATGAGCAGTCTGAGGAGACTTACCTAGTAAAGGTGACTGTGATTGCAAGAGTAGTTCTTGCTGAACCAGGGGAGTGAGATTAGAAGCCAGAAAAGAGGGGGCAGGGAACTTGTGTATGAGAGTACTGCATGGAAACAGGAGATTTTTGCTTATCTCTTCAATTTCAACCGTCTCACTCTTTTAGACTAGAAAACTTTATTTTCTAGAACAGATTAGGCTAGAACCTGGGATTCTGAGTAACTATATGTTCTAGGAACTAGAAGATATCAGGAAATCCCTGGATGACACTTGGATTATCCTTTTCTCACACAAGTTCATCTAGAAATTTGTGCCCACCTGGTGTACTCAAAACAGCAAAGCATTGCGTGTGGTTGTATTACATGCAAGTGCTGATATTATAACTTGGTGATACCAGTTTTCTTTTGAGAGAAGTGGATAGTTACGCACTGAGTAACTGTACTAACAGTGTCATTTCCAGAAACACAAATGGAGAACTGAAGTTTTTAAGTTAGCTTTAATTCAGT